GGAACAATCCTTTTTATTAAATTGGGCAGCTCATAGTAGGCACCATTCCTTAGATAGTCATGCTGAGAACTCCTGCCTATACTGGAAAAATAACTCCACTGGAATCATGTCTTCAATCCTGTGTATATGAAAGGAAGGAAGGGAGAGAGGGAAGAAGGAAAAAAAAAGAAGAGAAAATTTATGGGCAAATGTAAATGGCATCCAAATTATACTACTGGAAAAATTTATGCTGACACTTGCGATAAATGTCCAAATGACACTCCAAAGGATCTATTGGATTTCAAAGGAGAGAAAAATGTTTTGACTGCAGAACGGTGTGAGAGGATAAAGCGACTAGGTGGGGGGAAAGGAATCCACTTTACTCATTTCCGTAGAAGTACTTACCATGGGAGGCGTTTTCCATGTAGGACCAGGTCTTCATGCACTGACACTTGCATGAGCGTCACTGTGGGTCCTGCTGGCGGAAGCTGATACGGGCAGAGAGCGCTTACTCTGTGCCCAGCGCTGCGCCGAGTTGTTCGTGGATTATCTCATTTCTAGTCACCAGTCTGTGCGCCGTACTCCTGTGCAACCCCAATTTTTACAGATGAGGAAACCAAGACTTTGAGAGGGCAAAATAACAGTATCGGCGGGGCTGAGACTGGACTCTAAGCAGTCGGGCTTCAGCACCCCAGGTGGTAACTGTAACTCCTGAGGCCGTTTTCAGTTAGACCAGGAGGGCTGTGACCACTCAGGCTCTGACAAAGCTGCGTGTCAGGTTTGACTTTTGGTATCATCTTCTGTTGCCACAGCCCCAGGTCCCCTTTTGCTTCTCTCTGGCTCCCAAGAGCCCCCAAGTATACCATTTTTTCTTTCTCCTTCAGTACTTGTCTTCAAAAATTTTCGTTCTCTCCTTCAGCCTCAAGCACTTCTCCCTTTTGTCCCGGCAAAAGGATCATCCTGTGTGAATAACTGCACACTAGGAATGGCTGACGCTCAACTACAGAAAAGTGGTTACTGAAGAAAGAGCTTGATAGGCTGAGGCAGGTTCTGAACCAGGTCAATTTCCTAGTGTTCCTTGCCTGCTGTTCTCCTCCATGCAGACTGGAAGAACAAGGCCCAACAAGCTGAGCACTTCCCTTCTCTCCCAGCCCACCTGTGAGCGTCTGCGCAGATGCCAGCCTCTGCTTCAGGGACATATAAGAAAGTACTTTTGTCCTAAACAGTCTTTGTTCCATGACTGACTCAGAATCTTAGAGAAATAACAAGGAATTAATACATGTGCTGAATTTATAGGGAATAAAAGCATTGCGGTAAGAGAAAGGAGAGGAACTTGGGACAAATACTAAGAAAGTTCTGAAAGTTTCTCTTCAGTAAGACATTTCTGTTATTTAGCCCATAAATTCAACTTCAGCCCCTCGTATGGAAGGGGATTAGGACTTGTGGTTAAAGAACAGGCTATATTTTAAGTTAAAAAATAGGACATAGTACAAAGGAAAATGACTGGTCCACGTTACAATTTTGAGGCTAAACCATAAAATCAGAAATATGCCAATTTTTTAAACTTTAAAATTATGTATTCAAATTTGAGGTTTGAAAAGTATGGGTTAGATTTGATTCCCAGCACATTTGGGACAGTAAGATAAGCCACATTTTTGTATGTGAGGAAGGTTTGAGGCTTATCTCAGTCACATTGGTTTAAAACAGAAATGCAAGATTAGTTGGTCAGGTCAGTGAAGAAAAAGAAGAGAATAAATCTGAATATTTAAAACAAACGAAAAAGTCAATCAAAGTGTGTTTGACTTATTTGACTGTTGATAAAACTTTCTAGACCATCAACCATTCAAAGCAGTTCAGTTGATTTTTACATAACCTCAGGGTTGCATGGTTCAAGAGTGCAGACAGAGCAAGAAGGAAATTCATATTTTCAGTTTATCTTGTGATGATAAGGAACTTTAACTAATTAGAATAATAGTGAATAATAATCCCAAGTGGTTTTTTTCTGTGCTGCTTGAAAGATATGTTTCAAGCTTAGCCAAAAATGATGACTTTTTAAAATTAAATAAGTTTTCATTGTGAGTAAAGGAGATGAGTTCGGACTCAGACCGTGGGACGGATGATGCTGAAGCTCCTCAGGAGGTGGACCACCTCTCACAGACGGCTCCACAGGCATCGGAGAGGCCCATCCACTTTTACTTATGCTGTCCCACAGGCGGATACATAAAATGGTCTTCTTTTGGCTTACAGCTTTGCTTATTTCAAACATTTAAATGCTTCCAGAAAGGGAAACGTTTATCATTGTCCTTCACAGGGAAAATGGCAAATCCATGACCTTCACGCTTCTGCTTTCATGCAGCCATTGGTAATCAACCTCAGATTCCTTCCCCAGTCTGCCAGGTTCCAAGAATCCTCTTTGACAGGGCTGTGCAGAAAGCCACTCTGAACCGATTAGATGTGACATGCGAGTCAACACCTGCCTAACACTCCTAATTTCTATCTTATGTGAATGAGTTTATTGAATCTTTGAATCAGAGCACATTTTGAGAGTGGGAAAGGAAAGGAAGTATAAGGGTTTCGGATTTGAGGGAAAGACCCAAATGTTACCATGAAGGGTGGTTTATAAACTTTGCCTATAACTTTACAGAGGTAGACATACCATGGATGGAATATCCAGTACTAAGTGCCACATACCATTGTTAGCACTTTGTGTTTGTTATGCCATTTCCTCTTCACAGCAGCTTTGGGGGAGGGGGGTGGGGGAATTCAGTTATACAGTGGAGGAAACTGAGCCTCCATGATGTTAAAATGACTTTTCCAAAGTGAAAGAGCTAGTAAATGCAGAGCTATAACACAGATCTCCAGAGTTTCTATCTTTCCGGTATACTCAGCAATTTTATACATTATTTCCAGAGTTATATAGAATTAGATCAGGATGCCTGGTGTGTGGCATAAAAATCTTCTCCAGGTGACTTGCATTTTCAGAGCCCTGCTCCTTAGCAACAAAACTCAATATTAATTTGAATGGACTAAGAATTCAAAATTCTATTTGTTCAACCTTTGTTATCTCTACTGTTGAATGATAATGCAGTTCCTTGGAGATGATGTGAAATCAAGATATTTTTCCAGTATGGATCATATTTATCTAAATTTTCCTTGTGAGTATTCTTCTGTGATATTTAACTATTCATGTTTATGATTAAATTTTGAAATATCATTGTACATATTCATTTGATAAAATCAAATAAAATGCTTTGAGGGGAGATATTTTATAATAAAAACCTCATACTGGATAAAGAAATAACATAATTGAGGGTGACACAATGAATGATTTTTAGTAAGTATTAGGTTAGAATTTCAGTAGCCTTACTGATGCAATTTTAAACTTATTGATTAGAGCAAGAATTTTACCTGACCTTTTATATATAGCGGACATAGAACTGATTCTGTACTAGATTACTTTGTATATTCATAATAAGTGTGGGGCCATTCTTTTTGTTTTCAATTTCAGTTGACCTCATTAGGGACAGTTTCAACATTCATTTCAAATTAGGACTAGCAGATCTATTCCCACAGCGATTCTTTTGTGATGTCATGTTGTTGTTTAAGAACCTACTATATGCCAACATCATACTGCAGTATTAGATTACCAAAAAAAAATATGACACCGAATGGTTGCTTAGTGTTGGGAAAGCCTTCCTTCCGCCTCCTCTAGTCCTCCCTCCCATGCTCAGCCATGATCTGCTCTGACATGACCCGCCACAGTTCAAATGAATCCTCTAATCCTCTAAGAAATGTGACCATGATCAACATCCAGTAGGTAGTTGATCTCAGCTGTGAACCTAGGCAGTCCTGCTCTGCGTCAGTGCCTTTAACCTATATCCAGGTGTCTGAGCTAGAAGCTCGTGTCATCCAGGTGCAGTAGGTGAGTGTCTGAATGGAGGGGTACAGCACAAGTGCTGAGAAAGGGGCAAATCTGACAAATCCTTCAAAGAATAAAGAGAATCAGATGTGAGATTGGATGTAGACTCTGGGAGAAGAGGCACACCAAAGAGCCCCCAAAGTTCACTTGTTTTAAAGACTGATAAAACGATGGTACGCCCCTGGCCCATGGGGTATTGGAGACGGGGAATGGCTCAGGGAAAACAGTCATGAGCTCAGCTTTGGTCCATTTAATCTGAGGTGATGGGGTCAACTCCAAATTGATTGGTGTGACACACAGATTTGAGGAAATGGCAAAACAGTGTGGCATGGTCAATAGACAGAGGATGTGGAATGAGAAGAGACAAATTCAAAGTCTGATGCCTGCGTTAGTACCCCGTGACACCATGCAAGTTACTTCACTTCTCTAAGCCTCAGTTTTCTTTCTTGTGATTGGTTTCCTGCTGTTATCACCATGAGAAAGTTTAGGACATGCCAAGGAACAGACAGCTACTTAAAGGCAGAATAAGATTACATGCCTAAATGAACTATCTTGTAGAATGTATTAATCTGAATAATATCTATTGGGGAAAAAAAAATAATCACATTATTAAGTCAGAGCTAGGATGACAATATCACATGATCCAAACCAAGACCCTTTTGAGAGTGAAAGTACTATTAATAAATACACCAGAGCAACAGACATTCTGCTGTAATTGTGGGACTATCATGGGAAAAGAATACAAATGGTCGCCCTACCCATAGCCACCAGAAGAGGTACTTCTGGAATATTCTTTGTGGAAACCACACCCTGTGGTTTCCAATTTTGAATGAAAATAATCCTGGTGGAAGAGGGTATATTCAGGATGTGATTTCCAGCAGGGCTACTTCCTTAGGGACTACATCCAAGGACAAGTTCCTTTCCCACCTCTTCCTCAGCAGCATTCCCCATACCCCTTCTCTCCCTTGGTTCACACATCACACTCAAGCCACTGTAATTATTCAGTTGTGTCTGGAAGAAAAAGAGTGACTTTATTGCATTAAGATGTCTGGTGTCATCTCCATTGTCTTATGTTTGTTCATTTCTGATTGCTGCCTTGTAGTTGCTCCGTTCTGCTGCTGATTGGTCTGCTGGTATAAAGTACCATGAAGAGTCCATCCACAGCGCTTACATCAATGTGATAGAGAACAGCAAGCACTATATCTATATCGAAGTAAGTGCTGCTTGCGTAAATTCATGTGAGAAACTGCCTGCCCATATATATCACACTGAGACCGCAGGGTCCCTACACTCAGGACCTGCCATATTAATAAGCATATGTTGAGAGGTGAAGAGTGCTGCAGAAATGCTGATTCATTCATATCACCTGAATTTTGACCTCCCCAGCATACCTGGAATTTGCTCTGCATTGTCATTAACTCAACTATAAATGGGAGTCTCCCAAATCCTTGCTATTAAAATGCAACTCATTATAAAATTATTAGCCAGAAATACCTCAATATGTATGCTTAAGTTTTGATTTGGCCTGGGTTGGAGAGTTTAACACATTAACTGCCATGTGAGTTGTATTTAACTCACGATAGTTTTGAGCCTGGGGCCTTGTGAAGCACATTAACTCACATGTCTCTTCACCTTGGGAACCACGTGAACTAATTTTCAAGTTGCATATAACTCAAGCACAGAAAATAATAAAAAACAACAAATTTTTCATTAAATTAGAAAGGATCATTTTATTTTCAAAGTTTTTCTTCTATTTTAGTAATAAAACACCATGGCCCCAGGGAAGATTTTTTTTTTCCTAGTGTGGTTGTTAATATGTTAAGTGTGAGGCATGTGCTATTTCAGGACAGTACACACAGGAGTAAGTTGCTAAAATAGAGACCACTGGGTGACTCTGATTTGGGGATGGTAGAGTAGGGAGAGTGCAGGGGGAAAAAAACATGGAAAAGGAGCCAGGCATGGTGGCACACACATCTATAGTCTTAGCTGCTGAAGAGCCCAGCAGTTCAAGGCTGCAGTGTTCAAGCTTGGGTGACAAAGCGAGACCTGAGACCCCTTTTCTAGAAAGGAAAGAAGGAAGGGAGGAAGGGAGGAGGGGGAGGGGGAAGGGAGAGGGAGAGGGGGAAAAGGAGGAAGGAAAAGGAAGAATGTGAGAGTATTAAAGGCAGGTACCACCTTCTTCAATCCTGTGTGAACTACTGTTCATGATAAAGCTTTTTCAGATCCCAGAGTTTGTGTTCAGAGCATATGAGAAAATCTGGGGACACTGAATTTAATTTGAGAACTTAAATTATGCTTCAAGTCAGATATAAAAATAGTTCAGAGCGCTCGGAAAACCCTGAGAAAATAAAAGTCACAGTAATGGAAAAAATAAATCAGAGCATGTATCCTTTCTATATTCTAGTCTTTTCTTTCCCATTGAATTACAAAAATGGATAGGGGAGATGGGTTAGCTGGGGAAAATCATTCTAGTCCTATTTTCCTTCCCCCGAGTCCTGGCCCTCTCCCCCTCTAAGCAGTGAGAATTCATTGAATTGAAGCTTTATTTATTTCATGGGCCTGGAGCAGGAAGGTTAATTAAAAAATATTAGCAGGCTCAATGCAGTGTGGTATCCCGGATGGGATCATGCAATAGATATAGGACATTAGTGAAAAATTAGTGAACTCTGCATAAAGTCTGGAGTTTAGTAATAGTATTATTTATTTTAACAATTACACCATAGGAATGTAAGATGTTAAGGCTGGCTCCTCCATTACCTGGAATCATTTTGCTATATCTCTTTTTAATAGCATTATATCAGCTTTTCTTTTTAATGTGACTATAACATTAAATGAGGACAGTAATGCCATGTAAGAATACATGGTTGGGATCATAGACTTGGTTGACACTCCTCTAGCCAATGTAAATGTTCAGCATTCACCCCATTCTTCCAAAAAAGGAGAAGTAAAGGACAGTCTGTGTTTACAGATGCTGAGAAATGCTAAGCTTCTTTGTAATATGAATTCAGAAAAACAATCATGGTTTGGTTACCACTGAGATTTTGATTGTTTGATGCCCTAAGGAGAACCACATTCTCAAATGAGTTTCTGCACTGTCTTCTTGTAAGTTTGTCTTCTGGAGGCATTTCACAGATTTATGCACTGACATGTAAAAACTGGGATAATCGTAAAAATGGTAAAGCCGCAAAAGGAAGTGATACTCATATTTTGAGGTATTATTTATATATCCCTTTACCTTGAGATAATTAGCAAATATTACTTGTGCCGATTGTCCTTATAAATAACAGATGTATTACTATTGTAACAATCTGTATTCCATCTAAACACATAATATTTATAATATTCATACCAATTTCTAACATTCCTTTATGCAGCAACATAATCTTTTACACCATTATGATAGTGTTGTACCAGTTTTCTATTAATAGTAGTAGTTTTTGAAGAATTAATCATAGATTCATGATTCTTTAAGTACTGCTGCTATTCATGTATCCATAAAACATTCTTTGAAATAGTTACTAGAAAACGTGTAAGTAGGTACATGAATAGCAGCAGTACTTAGTGAAAAAAATGAATAAAAATATTATTTCTTTTTCCACTTTACTGGTTTATATATATAACCATGCACAAAAGACCACGTATTGCACAATTTCATTTATGTGAAATGTCCACATGTATTTATACGTATATATGCAACATACAAAAGAGATTTGAGGCTACTTAAAAAAAGTTCAGGGATAATAATAAGAGATCCAAACAAACATGACAAGGTTAAAGCACATACTAGGAAATAATGGAGAAAGGGTGGAGAAAATTAGACCAGGCTTCGGCCATCTGCCCTGTTAAAAAAGAAAACTTAGCATGAGATAGAATGTTTGCCAATATAGAATTTTTAATCATAAGTATTTATACAATGTGTGAATCTAAACAAACATAATTTCCCTATTGATTAAATTTGGAATGTTCCTAAGCATTCCGAGAATGTCATTCTACAAGGAATTCCCTTAGTGAAGTAACAGTGTAGCCTTCCACCTGACTAAGATGTTATAAGTGGTATGACTTGGAAATGCATGAGACCCAGAGGGAGAGACAGCTGCTCTCATTCTGGCCTTTCCCTGCCTGACATGATTTCAGTGATCTGAACGTGTTTGCTGTGTGAAACATTTTTTAAAAATATCAATGTATTTTTTATTTATCACATTTTCCTTATATATATGCTACTAAGAAAAAACTTACATGATTGTCCTATTTATTTCTCATAGAACCAGTTTCTCATAAGCTGTGCGGATGACAAAGTCGTGTTCAACAAGGTAGGCGATGCCATCGCCCAGAGGATCCTGAAGGCTCACAGGTAACGTTTTTGGCCCTTGGTTAGGAGTTGTTGCTGCAGATGCTCTTGTATTTACTACTAAAATGACTTTGAAAGCCCATTTTTAAAGTGCTGCCATTTCCTAGCAGGGTTGAATTTCGTTCAGCTAGCAGTATGTTATTGATTCCTTTAATTTGAGTCAGTTACTGAGAATTTTTGAGTCCCTTTTTGAGGGAATTTGAATTCTTCCAGGGCACAATCATTTTTTCCTGGCCGGTCTCTTTCCCATGCATGAGGTTTATGATTTGATTTATTTAATGGCAGACAGTGAACTGTGTTCACTTAAAAAACAAAGTGAAATAGACATAATATTTTGCTGTGGGTTATATTTAAATTCTTGTTACCATCTGTCTTATTTCTTCAGGTCATGATATTATTTCTTTAATAACAGTTTTATTGAGATTGAATTCACATACTATACAATCCACCCAGTTAAACTGTACAATTCGATGATTTTTTAGTATATTCACAGAGTTGCATAACCATCACCTAATCACTTTTCAGATATTTCCATCACCCTAGAAAGAAACCCCATTAGCTGTCATTACCCCTTCCCTCTCTCCCTTAGCCCCTGGAAACCACTAACATACTTTCTTTTTCTATAGATTTGCCTAGTGTGGATATTTCATATAAATGAAATCATGTAATATGTGGTCTTTTAGGACTGACTTCTTTTGCTTAGCATAATTTCTCAAGGTTCAGCTATGCTATAACATGTATCAGTACATCTTTCCTTTTTATTACCATATAATATTCCATTATATGGATATGCCACATTTTATTTATCCATTCATCAGTTGGTGGACATTTGGGTTGCTTCCACTTTTTTGACTATTGTGAATAATGTGGCTATAAACCTTCTGTACTAGTTTTTCTGCAGATGTATGTTTTCATTTTTTTAGGGGTAGAATTACCAGTAACTCCATGTTTAACATTTGGAGGAACTGCCAGACTGTCTTCCAAAGTGGATATACCATTTTACATTCCCACAGTGTATACGTGCTCCAATTTCTCTGTATCATTGCCAATTCATATTATTATTGCTCTCTTTGATTATAGTCAACATAGTAGGTCTTAAATGGTATCTCACTGTGGTTTTGATTTCAATTTCCCTATTGAGCATCTTTTTGTGTGCTTATTGTCTATGGAGAAATGTCTATTCAAATCCCTTGCTCATTTGTTCATCACGTTCTTTGACTCTTTATCATTGAATTGTAAGAGTTCTTTACATACTCTGGATGCAAGTCTCATGTCATATACATGATTTGAAAATATTTTTTCCCATTCAGTGGGTTGTCTTTTAACTTTCTTGATGATATCATTTGAAACACAAAAGTTTTTGATTTTGATAAAATCCAATTTATTTATTTTTTTAATCACTTGTGCTTTGGGTGTCATATCTAAGAAACTAATTAATCCAGGATTATGAAGATTTATGCTTCTAAGAATTTTATAGTTTTAGCTCTCATACTTAGGTCTTTGATAGATTTTGTTGCTTTTTGTGTATGATGTGAGTTAGGGGCCCGACTTCATTCTTTTGCATGTGGATATAGAGTCATCCTAGCACCATTTATTAAAAAGACTATTCTTCCTCCATAGAATTGCCTTAGCACCTTTTTATGGCTGTAAAAGTAGCAAAATACACAAAGAAACAAGAGCATTATTATGTTTCATTATTTTAAGTCATTGAACATACACGGTGAAGAATAAATACATACACATTAGGAAATTAAAACATTTTTTGACTGCCAGTATCATGCAGTATTTTGATATTTTTCTTTCACATATGTGGGGATTTTTAGACTTAAGGACATTTTATAACAGTAACTATCCGCATTTTATATGATTCATAGTTGATATCTACATTATCTCACTGAATCTTCACAACTACTCTTGAATGTAGGTCAAGTAGTTGTTATTATTATTGTTGTTGCTGTCCTCATTTTTAGAATTTAAAACTGAGATTTAAGAGGTTATGTGACTTGGCTAGGCCACTAACAGAAATAGGGAAAAACAGCTTTGAGCCCAAGTATTTGGATTTTTGACCCAGTGCCTCCCCTCACACCACGTAACTCCAATTCATTGATGGGTAGAATTAAAGACATACTCAGCGTTTCCCCAGGTTGAGGCAAGTGTGTTGGGCCTTCCTCCACTGAACAATCTTTGGATGCAGGCTGACCCCCGGGAGTGGGAATGACCTTGAGTGAGGCAGGTCCCTCCGGCCTATGGAGGGCAATACCTGGAGAAGGACTTCACTGTGCGTGAGTCATCAGCAGCTGAGAGGATGGCTGTCTTGACCCTGTGGTAAGGGGCTCTAGCAGCACACCACGCCATCCACCACATTCTTCAGGGTGTACGGTAGGTCTCACCCTTGACTACACATCAAAATCGCTGTTGGACCTTTACAAAATTACAGAGAGCTTGACTCAACTCCAGGCTCACTGGATTATAATTTCCTGGATGGGGCCCAGGCACCTATATTTTATAATGCTCCGCAGCTGACTTCAGGGCACAGCTAAAATTGTTTAGTCCTCATCTAGAATAGTGTATGTATATGACCATAAATATTAATGGTGGTCTGTGATTTTACAAGTGACTTTTATCCTTTGCCTGCTCATATCTTTTTTTAAATTTCAAAATATTAATATTAAGAGAGTACAAATGTTTTTATTACATGAATACCTTGTATAATGCTTAAGTTGGGGCATTTAATGTGCCCATCACAAGAATAGTGTTCATTGTACCTGATAGGTAAGTTTTTATCCCTCACTCCTCTCCTAACCTCCCCACTTCTTGGTTTCCAGTGTCCTTTACATCTCTTTGTGCCCATATGTGCCCATAATTTAGCTCCCACTTATTAGTGAGAACATGTGCTGTTTGTTTTCCCATTCCTGAGATACTTTACTTAGGATAAGTGAAGTTTCATCCAAGTTGCTGCAAAAGACATTATTTCATTCATTTTTATGGCTGAGTAGTACTACATATGCCACACTTTCTTTATCCGCTCATGAGTTGATAGGCACTTAGGTTGATTTCTCATCTTTGCAATTGTGAATTGTGCTGCAATAAACATTCAAGTACAGGCGTCTTTTTTATAAAATGACTTCTTTTCCATTGGGTAGATACCCAGTAGTGGGATTGCTGGACCGAATGGTAATTCTACATTTATTTCTTTGAGGAATCTCCATACTGTTTTCCATAGTGGTTGTACCAATTTGCACTCTCACCAATAATGTATAAGCATGCCACTCTCTCTGCATCTGCACCAGCATCTATTGTTTTTTGACTTTTTAATAACGGCCATTCTGATAGGGGGTAAGGTGGTATCTCATTGTGGTTTTCATTTGCATTTCCCTGATGATTAGTGATATTGAGCATTTTTTCATATGTTTGTTGACCATTTGTCTATCTTCTTTTGAAGAACTTCCATTCGTGTCTTTGCCTACTTTTTAATGGGACTGTTTGTTTTTTTCTTGCTGATTTGTTTGCATTCTTTGTAGATTCTGGATATTAGCCCTTTCTCAGATATATAGGTTGTGAACATTTTCTCCCATTCTGTGGGTTGTCTATTTACTCTGTTGATAATTTCCTTTGCTGTGCAGAAACTTTTTAATTTAATTAAGTCCCATTTATATATTTTTCTTATTGGTATAATCAACTTTGGGGTCTTAGTCATAAATTCTTTGCCTAAGCCAATGTCTAAAAGAGTTTTTCCAATGTTTTCTTCTAGAATTTTTATGGTTTTTGTGCCTTACATTTAAGTCTTTTATCCATCTTGAATTAATTTTTGTATATGGCAAGAGATAAGGATCATGTTTCATTCTTCTGCATGTGGCTATCCAATTTTCCCAGTACCATTTATTGAATAGGGATTTCTTTCTCCAGTGTATTTCATTGTCTTCTTTGTCAAAGATCAGTTGGTTATAGGTAGATGGTTTTATTTCTGGATTCTGTACTTTGTTCCATTGGTCTATGTCTCTACTTTTATACCAGTACCATGCTGTTTTGGTTACTACAGTCTTGTAGTATAATTTGAAATCCAGTAATGTGATGCCTCCAGATTTGTTCTTTCTACTTGAGATTGCTTTGGCTGTTCAGGCTCTTTTTTGGTTCCAAATAAAGCTTAGAAATATTTTTCTAGATCTGTGAAATATGACATTGGTATTTTGAGAGGGATTGCTTTGCTTCTGTTTATGTGGTGAATCATGTCTGCTGATTTGCATATGTTGAACAATCCCTGCATCCTTGAGATGAAAATTACTTGATCATGATGAATTCTCTCTTTGATGTGCTGTTGAATTTGGTTTGCTAGTATTTTCTTGAGGATTTTTGTATCTATGTTCATAAGGGATTTTGATCTATAGGTTCTTTTTGTTGTTGTTGTTGTGTCCTTTCTTGGCTTTGGTATCAAGATGATACTGGCTTCACAGAATGAGTTAAAGGGGATTTCCTTCCTCTTGATGTTATGGAATAATTATTGATGTTATGGTGGCAGTTCTTTGTAGGTCTGGTAGAATTCTACCACAACAAAAAAAACTATAGATTAAAATCCCTTATGATGTGAATTCATTTGGTCTGGGCCTTTTTTTTTGTTGGGAGATTTTTTTTTTATTATTATTATTATTGCTCCAATCTTGCTGCTCATTATTGTTGTTCAGAATTTCTATTTCTTTCTGACTTCATATCTTTTTTAAGGAAATCACCATAGGATCTGTTTCTGAGATGACTTAAAAACAGTCTTGTTTACAGATAAACATACATGTACACACAGAGATTTCCCAAATCCTTGCCAGTTTCCCAATTCTATGGGGTAATTTATGTCTAATTTACAAAATTGTCTGATTAACAAAATTACGTTATCTTCCTGTCAAATCCTCCATTTTCATTTATGCAGTTGTATCTACTTTATCTATAAAGCACATTTGGCAAAAGAGAAAAATAACTTTTTATGAAATCTAAGTAAGTCACAGAAATACATTATG